TTCCATTAATTTCCTTCTAAAAAACGATTTTGATGAATAAATAAAAGATACTTTATTAATTAAAAATGTCTTTCGCTTTACTCGAAACTGATAATAGTCTTATATACTAAAAATAGATTGTTAACACATGAATGTAGCAGACTCATATGCAAGGTGTATTTTCTTAAAATACTACATTGCAAAATAAATTTCAATAATTTATAAGTTATATCATCACTTGATTTATTACTCGTTAGAGTCTTCAATATATTAATATAAAGTTGGATTTTATTTCATTCTATATATGCAACATAAGCTTTGATCTAAAAATTAACTAGTAAAATTTTTTGTTTTCAAATACGTAACTTCAAATAAAGAGGAAAAGGATTAAAAACTTACTTTCCTCGTTAATAATTATACACAATGTACTCCATCAATTTCTATTTGATAGCATTTGTTTGTAGACTCAGACATAACAGTTCAAATACACTATTTGTAAAATAGACGAATGTACGTTACGTGTTAATGAATCATTGGATACGTTATCATAAATATACAGATTATAAATTTAATTTAGGCGCAAAAATCTGCATTAACTCTGCGAGTTCGGTCTTTGAATTCGGAGTGAATCGAGCAGCTTGATTGGCTCTAGAAATGTTAATAACGAAAGCAGATGAGATGACATGTAGCAGAAAGGTGCGAGTTGCTGAACGATTTTCGAGGTAAAAGAGCAAACGGATGCCTTCGATTTGCAATGCCGAGCGCACCTAATGCAATCAGCCAAATATTTCATAACGCAAGACACGTAAGATAAATTGAAAGGTGACTAAAATGGTCAACTGGATTATAGTGAAGAAAAAACTTGGCGTGCTCTGGTCACATTAATTGCACTTGTTCGAATATATTATCTCATCACAGTATTTGTATTATAAATTAAAATATAAAAATAATAGATATTTATACATAAGTATAATATATAAATATATATGTATACGGTGACATAGTTTGTAGGAGATGAAGAGAAAAACTTTAAATAGTAAGGAAAATTCATTAGCTTAAAAATGAAAATCTTGAAAGAGAGTGGCTCAATTTTTAATCTTTAAGAGTGAGATTTCACTCTTCAGAGTGAGATTCACTTAAAAAGTTTTAGAGAGTAAGTTTTACGCCTTAAAATCTCATTGTAGACGCCGCTTTAGCCGGCCCGACGACACGCTCGATGGATACGTGCTCTGATTTCTGTACGACTTCGCGGAATGCGTCCACGAATGCATTGTCGTGTCGATCTTCGGCGTGGCATCCATTGAGGGTACCAAGGATGCGTCGCGAATGCAGCATGGATGCTTTTGTCTGTGAGCGCGAACGCGAGCAATTTCCGGCTATTTTCTCAAAGCGGATTCCGTTAGACGGGACAATAATTAAAATAGCGCCTCGTTTAACGCACGCACGTGTGAACAATGCCGCACGCAAGGATATGTCGACCCGCATCCTATATCTTGTTCTCAGCTGTTATTCTATTTATTTTATAAGAATAATTTTGCTTCGAGCTTTCAGTGAAAAGTTTCCGATGTTTGTTAGCTTTTCACGAGAGTAATCGCTCTCGTGAAAAAAAAGAGTTCCTAGTTGAAACAAGAGTTGTTAATTTTTATCATGAACTTAATACAAAAATTTAGAAAGTAGTCTTGTATTAATTCATCGAAACCAAATAATTAATAAATTTATATTGTATATTGTACTTTTATTAATATTTTTTAATTTCAATACCGGTCTCTTCGATTATATTATCTCACATTCCAGAAACACTCTAATTTTTACACTTTTACGAGAACAAATGCCTGTTGCACACGCCACTCACACACTTGTTTCTAATTAACATTAATGATCTAAAAAAAAAGGTCGCGATGAGTAAACTAATTAGATCGGGAGTCACAAATGCCTCTCATGGGAAACTGCGCTTCATTGTTGCCGGAATTGCCGGGTTTGGCGAGAGGAGAAGGGTGCGTATAAAAACGTAGATAATAGAAAAGATGGATGTGTGTATTCTGGGTTAACGGCGGGGAAAATAAAGAAAGAAGCTCCGTCTCGATTTTGCGAGAAATCGCCGGATTCGTGTGACAGTTAGATGTCAAACGTCAATTACCATTCTCATGCACCTAAATTCTTTTGTTGCTTAACAAAATTCTTCCTGTATTAAAAAAAAAACACATAAAAACTATAACTGTGCATATAACTATAATTTATATTTGTATACGTCAAATATTTTAGTTCATCAAATGAAGCACAAATTTTTCATACCGGTTAATTCTGCGGTGAAGCATTAGAAAGAATTTTGGATGACAAAGAATAAATTATTTTAAACTTTGACGAGAAATTTCGCCTAATTATTGTTATATAAGAAGAGACTAGGATTCTATATATATTTTTAAATAAAAATTATATTTCAACTAACGAACACCGGCATCGTACAAAAGAAAGTTTACAATGAAGTTAAAACTACAAAGAAGATATCGAGATACGCATCAGAGTACAGAGTATAATTACGTATCACTTTAATTTTAGAGAGTCTTCATTGTTTCGTACTAGAATATAAAGCTAACTGTATTCTAACTGTTATCGCGACGCGCATCGAGAACGCAAAAGATGTCATCTTGATATATTCGCGAGAAATTCAATGGTCACGTCGTTGTTGCGACAATGTTGACTTTATTACGAAGTACGCGACCATTACATTAATCGCGTAGACAGACGGAGTTAATCTAAAAGTACTAACGGCAACAACTTCCTCACAACATTCAAGCAAAACGCAATTCAATTTGCAAGCGCAATTCTTGTAACACTGCACTTATATATCGTATAAAATTATTTATCTGAAAAGTACGAGTAAGTAGGGGAGACCGGGGCTAGTAGACTCATTTTTCAGTTTCGAATTTTTACAGACAAAATTAAGAGACTTATCGAAAAAATGAATTCTACACCAGTTACTACATACATTTGATTATCTAATAATATTTTAATAATAAGGGGAAACTGATAACTATAATATGAAAAAAAATGAGCAAAGTGACACGGAAGGTTTGCCTGAGGTTTATTTTCCTCTTCTAAAGAAGGATGTCTCTTTCCGTTAATAAACAATTCTAGAACTTTCTAAAAATTTTTGACTCAGATATATAAATAGTGGTAAAATATATGATAGGACAAATAACAACACATAATGTCACGACAAAATTCTAACTGTGTAAAAGAAATACTCGAGATTCATCGTTTGGTTTTTTTGCTGTAAAACAGAATCTGGAAATTCTTGTTCTACACTTTTCTTGATATGACAATTGACGTTGTAACATTACTGTATGAAGCATCTTCACATATAAAAGAACATGTTTATTTAATTACAACTCTCGACTGTTGAATTTAATGTCAACTAGATAATAACTCTGCGTTTTAAGAATATTATTGAATTACTGAAGATGGTGGCCAGATTATGGCCGAAACGTTTAATGTTTTAATTAATGTAATAATAATTAAATATCACAAACTATAACTTGTGCTGTGGTTTTTTATGCTCTTATTTTTTATATGTTTAATATTAGAACCACGTTAGTTTCAAGAAAAAAAATGCATTTTTCTAATGTATTTCATCTGATTCAACTAGCCTCGGGAACGGGATAATTCGACTAAGATTATTAAAATAAAGATTAATGTACATTTTAAGCTACATCTTTGGCTACAAATTAATAAAACTTTTATAAAAATATATTTTAAACACAAACATTCGCTTCGCAGGGCAAACAATATTTCTTTTTGCAAAATTTGCTCATTTCGTGCAAAAACATGTCGAAGTTTTCATGCCTAGTTTTCGAGATTGTACACGAGGGAACTAAACTTATAACGTTTACCACTGAGGAAAATCTCTTTAAAGGAATAAAAGAGTAAATATTATTTTGAGTAAATATTATTTTGAGTAAATATCATAAGAGTCATCATTAAATGAGTCATACAGTTCCATGCTGTGGTTAGTCTACTATCTCCATCCGTTCATTTTTTAAAAACATTAACGATAACAGAGACACATAAACAAAAAAAATTTGTTGGACTTTATTAAGTAAGAACTATACTTACTAAGTAGAAATCAAATATCTCAGACAATCCTACACGATAGTAAAACAAAAACTAAGAATAAAAATATTTACTTAAGTGTACAATATATTTTTTAACATACCCTACATTCGACTGACCCCAGTCTCCCCTAACATAGAAATATAAAAGTATCTTTTCAAGGGAAAAAGAACAGCTTAAATTGATTCTACGTTAACAGATTGACCTTGTTTGCGGGAGTAGATGTGTATGTTTGACAGGTGTGTTTCCGCGATCCGCCAAGCCACGTGCGCTGCGAAAAGGATTTAAAAGCCACCGACGAAGAGATACGCGACCAATCGAGAATCCCGAAGTGCGAGGAGTGGTGGAAGCCGCACGTGGGAAGAACAAGAGAGAAAGAGAGAAGGCGATCGCTTCACTTAGCTATTTCATTACCTTCACTCGATCCTTGGCCGCAGTGCACACGGAGCTGTGATCACGTTTTGTTCCTCGCCGCGAATGGTACCGATCGGCGCGATCCTCGCGCGCACGCGGACGAATGGACCGCGCGTTACATAATAAAAAGACCGAGTGATCCACTTTCCGAGGAAGAGCAACGATCGCGGATTTTTCGTGGAAAAAAAAAACGCCAAGGACGATCGTACAGAGGAGCGCTGGATCCAAGGAGATCGTATGTTCGCGTTACTTCGTGAGTTCAGTTTCAAGTACGGTTCAGAATACGTCCTTTTAGTATCTAGCATTTCAGCTAATAAGCTGACGTTATTTCTCATCTGTTTGATGTTAAATGACATCAAAGATGTTGTTACAAATACCGTCAACTTCCCAAGAGACACCGAGTCAAGAGAAAGTCAAAATTACTTTATTATTTTGACATCATGAAAGTCAAAATAATGATTTTTAAAAATCATTATTTTTTTTTTTTTTTTTTTTTTTTAATTTGACTGGGTTTATTGATGTTAAGAAAAATAAAGATAAAGTCATTTTGATGTCTTGTTGACTTTTATGTGTACGTTCCCTTAGTTTGCTGCATTTGTGTCAACAATTATTTTATGTGTTGAAACAACAGTTGATTAATATTCATTTTCCATTATTACTATTATTGACTGAGAAGTAGTCGCATTGCTTTCAATGAAACGCCTCTTAACTGTAAATACATATATATAAACAGTAACAGTTTCTCACAATTTGCTACGGTTGAAAACGAGATAGTTTCTGCGATTTACGTCCGCCTGGCAAATTTCGCAACGACGGTCGCAACGATCAATTTAAATAGCAAAGAGACAAGGCAAGGAAGATTCGTCATGTACAATGACGTTCGGATATGGAAGTGGCGGCATTCAGATTTTATCGTCGCGGTTATCCCCGCTATTGCGCTCGTAAAGTCAGAGAACTTAAATCTCATTTTTCACGTACGTAGCGTGACAGGTGATCTGTAAGGATACGGTTGCGGACTGTTTAGGACGCGACAAATAGTCGGCGAAATGGAAACTTACAGCGTCTATTCGTCGCCTCTGAAATACGACCGTTATTAACGACTCTCTTGATTGTGGGAATATACAATTCTCGAATTAAATCTCGTAATTACGAAACTTATCATAAGATATCTTGTGAGATATTTCATAAAAAGTCAAAATAAAAAAAGGAAAAAATAATCGATAAAATGGAATATCAAGTGTCATAAAAGTGTCGACACTTTTGATTGCGGAAATTTACAATTCTCTAATTAAATCTCATAATTACAAGAGTATCGCAGGAAATATCTTATAAGATATTTCGTGAAAAGTTAAAATAAAAAAAAAATAATGAGACGATTTTAAAAATTAATCTAATAAAGCGCCTATGTGAATTGCGATCTTGATATCAAGTATCGTGTAAGTCGATATTCATTTATATAGAGATACTTTGCAATTGTCAGATGCGTGCTAGATTAAACCGCTCGCTATCCGCCAATATTCTTTAATGAAACTTAATTGCCGTACGCCGCGTTGTGAAACACCATCGCGACTGTAGTTCGAACAAAGAACAGCCACAAAGTCGTAATCGAACGAGCCTCATAAACGTTCACGAAGTGCGCTTACCGCTCTTAACCATTCTCGACAAGCTTGATTAACGTTAGAAAAATGATGAGAGTACGGATGAGAATAATCGGAGCGAGAGAAACACAAGTCGCTCCGCCTTCGGCACTGATTAATCGCTTTCGAATCGTTTTTGAAATTTCCTTCTTCTCTAGAACAGTTTCCTTGGCCTTCCATACAATGTACGGAGGGAAGAAAAGCATCCCATATAACACAAAGGTTTGTAGAACATTATTGCAACGTTACAATGGTTGCGTTCAGAGAAAGCAGTTAATGTAATCGTTGTAAAATTTTTTAATATGATTGGTCTTGCTCTTAGTTTCTATCTCACTGAATCTAAATGTATAAACTAATCATATTAAAGAATTTTACAACAGTTGCAAAGCTGCTTTCTCTGCTGAACACACATATTGCTACAATATTGCTGGAATAATTTGCGCTGTATGGAATACGAGGCTGACTTTTAGCGAATTTAAATGGATACATTCAATGCACCTTAAAGCCGTGGTATACTAATTTTTATATAAAAGTAAAATGGAAACATATCAAAATACAGGTTTTACTTAACATTAAAATCTATTGAGGATTTTATGGTTTAATCCTTTTTTAAGCCATCGTACACAAATTGACGTAAAAAATGTATTTAATATAAAAACGGATTAAACCGTGAGATCCTCAATACATTTTATCATGCTGCTAAATAAAATCTGTGTTTTATAATTCGAAATATTTTCACTTTACTTTTACACGGATTAAATCAGTGTATAACAGCTTTAATATTCGCCAGTGCACACTAATGCGTCCAATCGAATTCGCTATTTGACTCGAGCGCGAGCGAAAAAGTGCGATTACGTAAAGGGCCAATTAACTCTTGAGCGACCGCTCGTTTTCGTGTCCGCTGCGGGACACAATCGTGATCGATTTATCAAAGCGGCCTCGCGATGACTCGCGCGTTTTCAGACAGGAGATCATTTCCTGCGCGGCGAACGGAAGGAGAAAAGGCGCAGTGCTCTAGTTGCGGATTTTTTTTTTATTTTTCAGTGAGCGGCACGTAACACTTTTATTTTAACAAAACGCAGCCGTCGACATTCGCGGACAAGCGCCGAATAATGATCGTCAATTATCGCTTTACGCGTCATACGGTCGACTATACTATTTCTGTTTGCCGTTGTGTAATTCTTCCTCCTTGTCGGGATTTCGTAATGTGCGTCCAAGAGGCGAGGAAAGAAAGAACGATGCCGTTTTGCTATTTCAAAAAGGGATTATAAATATAATATTCGATAAAGAGAAATAAGGGATCTAAACGGGCAAGCTGGATTTTAACTACTTATAATTCAATGTGAATTTATATATAATGTATCTCCAATTTTGTAAAATTTAATCATTATTAAGATTCTTTCTAATTGTAAGATGTCTATGAGCATCGATATTATTAAATTGCTTGTCAATTTAATTTGTAATATATAATAGAGATGAGGAAAGAAAGAACGATGCTATTTTGCTATTTCAAAAAGGGATTATAAATATAATATTCGATAAAGAGAAATAAGGGATCTAAACGGGCAAGCTGGATTTTAACTACTTATAATTCAATGTGAATTTATATATAATGTATCTCCAATTTTGTAAAATTTAATCATTATTAAGATTCTTTCTAATTGTAAGATGTCTATGAGCATCGATATTATTAAATTGCTTGTCAATTTAATTTGTAATATATAATATATTTGTAATATATAATAGAGACGAGGAAAGAAAGAACGATGCTGTTTTGCTATTTCAAAAAGGGATTATAAATATAATATTCGATAAAGAGAAATAAGGGATCTAAACGGGCAAGCTGGATTTTAACTACTTATAATTCAATGTGAATTTATATATAATGTATCTCCAATTTTGTAAAATTTAATCATTATTAAGATTCTTTCTAATTGTAAGATGTCTATGAGCATCGATATTATTAAATTGCTTGTCAATTTAATTTGTAATATTATTGGTTTAATTTTGTTAGAATTGCGTTTCAAAATTAAATTCGGCGCGCAGTTTGCAGGATTGGATGTGAGTGTATAAATTCACACCGAATTATTTAAGCACTAAAGATTCAGCTTATTGTTTAGAGCCTTTATTTTCTGTTTGCTGTGTATTTACACTACAGTCTTAAAAGGTACTTTATTTATTATTGTGAAATAATGTTGATCTAACAGGTAACGTTTGTACGCTTGAAAGTCTCGAAATGATTTCAGATCTCGAGAGATATTTTTCGCGATACGGGGATTGTTTAAAAATAAATACACTTGTACCCGTTTTCACCACAGATTGGTAGATTAATTTTATTCTCAGTTTATATAACTCGCTCTTCATCTTTTTTTTTTAATTCTTTGACTTAGAAAATACTGAAGAGTTAGTTAGAACCGAGATTAAAATTAAAGTAAATTGGTAAAGAAAGAGGCTTTAGACAATATCCTAGAGGCGAATCCCTCCGGGCCTTGACCACACACTCTCACTTTCATTTCTGGTGTGAATTTAATTGCACCTCCGCCTTCCTCGCCCGAGCCGATCGACGATCGGGGAACGATAACGCGGTCCGCGAGTATTTACGTAAGAACTTCAAGTGCCCGTAAGTATGGCGTGGGAGTCGACCAGTTCGCATGCAACCGGCAGCGTTTCCTCGACTTTCTAAGTTCCGATACCTCGTTGACCATCACCGTTGTCTGCTGTGCGTGACTTAACGTCGGCGATATGATCGAGGAGAATTTTATCGAGTAGTTTTTCCAATAATCTCGAGTCCATCTCGAATCGGCCACTTTCTAGGAATCTCCGTGTCGCGAAAAATATCTTTGAACATCTAAAACGGCATTTATCCTTTACAATCTGAAAGAATGCAAACCGACATCTCGACTTTCAATCGTACATTGATCTCATTGCTGTCCGCGCACGATTACGAATACTAATTAATAGTGAAACCGTCGAGCACACATCATCGATTTCGCCTTCTTACAACTCAATTCCTTTAATTACAAGCGGACTCCTTTGTTTTATTGTAGATGCAATGTATCGTGATATATTGCGATGTCATAAATTTTTCATCGCGAGCAGAACAATATAAAGGTTAATTAAAAACTTGCCGATATAATATCCAATACGTCAGTATTCTCTCAGTAAGAAATTCAACGAATAATTTATGTCATAATAAATATTTATAATGGGTTATCATGCGTATAATTGTAGTGATATCGTATATGTATATATAATATATAATTGTAATATCTTATATATATACATACAATAGCTATACGTAAAATGCACACATCACTATTTCATTTTTATACTTTCGAAACATACAAATATTTCTTCTCGAGTATTCTTCTCGTTTACTTCTTCATAGATCACGCTACTCCTTAAGGATGTATTGTACTTATTATTTAATAAAACGAAAAACTTTGGAAAAATTTACAGATTTTTCTATATTCTATAATATTTGAAAGTAACACAAAAAATTTGGCGACGATTCAGAACTTATTGTTAGATAAAACATTATTTTAATAAGAAGTAGATAGTTTTTAAAAAATAATCAAAGATAAAATGAGAAAATTTTTTTATTCACTATAAAATTGTATTGTTAAATATAATTACTTATTGTTGTGTTTCATACGTACGTATACAACATTCATATTTTTATAAAGGAAGATATAAATTTTCAATTTCAGTGACTTTTGATAGAGACGATACATCCTTAAGTATTGAAATTCTTCTTATTGTTAAACATTTTTCGCGCGAATATAACTGTATCGGCTACTATTTATGAATCCCTCTTTCCATTCAAATTATTCGTTTCAGTCTCGTCTTGTACGCACGGAGGCTGCGACAATAAATTTTCCTCGTCCTACTTCGCCGCCGTTTCGTCTTCATTCGCTCACGAGATCTACATACGGTGGCGGATACGCGACGCGACTCGTAGATACCTTGTATGCCCAGCATACGACCGGTTTTTTACCATTTTCGACGAAAAATCGGCTGCCATCATTCTGCGTGCGAACTAGTTCTAATTTTGCCCCGCATTTTGCGCGACGCTGTTCCGGATGGGGGAATTTTACGCGTTAAAATTCGATCCCAGTTCGCGATTGATGGATGGTCTTCCGCTTTTTAGCTAGACGTTCATTAATTACAACTGGAAACACAATGGGCGATGAATAACAAATCTAGGCACGTATTATGGAATTGTACGGGGAATGGATTCCGACCGAAATTATTTCATTTTCTCGATAAAACACAATAGAAAACGAAGAAATAAATGAACAATTCTGATCGGGGGAGGGAAATCCATTCCGAATAATCCTGTAATACGTGCCTTGTTCTATTTAAACGAACTCGCCCACGATTAGCGATAGAGCGGCATAGATCCATCGTTCCATTTGCGCGATACTTTACGATCGATATAAAACTTGCAAGTAGCTCTTCAAGTCCGGACCGGCAAAGAATTTTCACGCGGCATAAAGAAAATTTATTCTGTCGTTAAAGTTTGAAACTTGCCGAGTCTCTTCGCGTGCCAACTATTCCACTTAAAAAATTGTTCGGGGCTACAGTGATATCTGATTATCAACAATAAAGGTGATATTTCTCTGGGGTTTAATTATCTTAAAGTGGTCATTAACGTTCAGAAGAAATTCATCAAACTTTGCTATTTCCTGTTCTTTCTTCCTAGCGGAAATTCTGAAGATGTTCCAACGATTAAGGGGAAACCGCGTAATTTCGATTATTCTCCAACCGCAATGAAAGACTCGATCGAGTCTGTAACTTTCTCGAAAATTAAGCATATTTACTTGGACTTTCTGAGTCTTCGCGAAAGATATAGGAAGTAAAAATGATAAGCGTTCACACAGAGTACAATTAGACAATCGAGATGTACAACTCGGCTTTCTAAATAAAAATTTGTGGTAAACTCGAATACACAGAAAAAGCTGTAGAAATTCGACGACGTGCAGAGAGATTTTTATTAACTAGCCAGTTAAGTTACACGAGAGGAAAATGATTTGTTAAAATAATTAAAACTCTCATTGATTCAGCAAATTTACAGCCGTGATATACAGCCAATTTTTTATGTTAAAGTAACAAAGACGTACGGCTGAATAAAATTAGCGATTATAAACAGTAATGTTTGTTATACTAGCACAGTAAATTTGTCAATGCAGCAAAGATCCTTTTTATGAAAATTAATTCAACATATAGATGAAAATTTTTAACAAAACATGCAGTCTGAAATGGCGCGTGCTTTTGCTGCTATAATGAAGAAAACTTGTTAGTGGCAATTTTTATCGTAGCAAAGAATTAACTGAATGAGCATACTGATAATTTCTTACAGACACATCATTTCTTTCAACTATCAAATCTTCTTATTGTTAATTATAAATATCGAATTCGCACGCGGCAAACTATAGCTTCGTTGATCTATTTATTTTCTTGTAACGATGTTGTAATTCGGTAAGTAACACCGTCAAGTCGTTCCGAATTGCGTCATGATGGATGAGAGAGGAAAATTGCTGGTTAGCGAGGGGAAAAAATGTACGCGTGTAAAATGCACCGCGACGGTGACGTCGACGCGAAATGTCAGGGTGCGCGATTCGGTAAAACGCTGCGCTGCCTGGTGAGAACCGCCGCTTGACAGGTCGGCTCCCCACGTGGAGAGTCGCACGCTCCGCTTCATCGAGCATTCGGTCGAGCACGTTCACCAGGGCAACGATTGCACTTGCACTTTTTAAGAGAACCTGTTCACCGCACCGGAGCCACACCCACGGTGTACCGAGGGACGCGAATCGACGAGGTGGAAACGTAGATCTCGCGAGAGAGAAACGCGTCCGGGAAAGAAGGGATCTGTCTGTTACATCGTACGTGTTACATTGTAACTTCTGCTGGGCGAAAACGGTAATATGAGATCGCCGGACGAGCACTTGTGTCCGGTACGTATCGCACTCGCTTCGTTGTAAATACAATAATCTGTTTTGTGAAAACCGGTTTGATAACGTTCATCCGTATCCTCATTTCACTCGTCCTTTACTCGTCGTATTCTGAAATGTTTTGCTTTCTCGATGTAGAGCGATCGAATTGCTCAACGTTATTATAATACAATACGCGGGTTAGATCGTTGCTTCTTGAATTTGTATCGAACGTTTGTCTTACTTTCGAGATATTATTTCTACTTTTAAGACCTTTCACTGATTGTAAAACGTGATCTAGAAAGTATACAGTTTCAGAAATTCTTAGAGATTTTCTAACTGCGGAGAAACATTCTTGATCGGATTGGCTACGATTAGCACTTCGGTTAAATCGCTTTCGTAATCCAGTTATAATATTATTCTGTATCGTATATGCGTTGTAACTTTTCTTAGTCGACTGGCCGCCGCTAGATTGCACGATAATTATTTTTGTATTTTATAATTTCTTATAAAAAACGATAGAGTTATATACATATATGTTTTTTTTAGAAATTTTTACTGACAATGAGATTATATCAAAAAAAATTAAGAGGCTAGTGGAGAAAGTAGTGAATAAAACCGAAAGAATTTCCAACGATTCGCTACAGGACAGGAATGGAAAAAGATTGTAATTATTCGGTCGGCACGGATACTGTCACGGTCGAAAGAAAAAAAGAGAGACAATTTTATTCGCTCTTTAGGAACGTAATTTTTACTACAATCGCGAATTGACGAGCGCTAGAATTGATTGTTGACAAATACGATAGATTCGCCAATCGTGTTTTTCATGCTTGAATGAAACCTCGTAAATTTTCCTCGTAAATTTTCGTACAATATTGACAATATAATTCATAATTTGATTCATATAGTAGATATAGAAGTGGATTTCAGCAGTCATTCTAATTGGAGAATACACTTTTTTAATAACGTCAGTAAAACAGAAAGGAGATTTTCGGATAAAGTGAATTCTAATATCGCAAAGTTCAATTTTTTTATACCGTAAGTGTGCGAGGGAAGATCTCGTGTATTTTGCATTTAAAATATGATATTGACAAAATTATATTTTCCACAATTTATATAAAGGCAGTTAGAAAAATACTTATTCGAAAAATAATTGGTGTAAAACAGACGACTTTAGAATCCCTTTAATTCTCAAAATAAAATAATGCAGGTGAAAACAATGGCTCATAGTTCACCCCTCGTATCTTGCAAAATGTGAAACCTCATGAAAGCAGTCTTCCGTAAGCGAAAGAAATATATATACATCTCGGAATAAAATCCACTGTGGATTGACCGGGAAACGCCAAAGAATTAATAATAATTAAGCTATAAATAACTAGAGAGGAGAAGGACCTGACAGTTGCATAAGCATTGTGAAATAAGGTTGAATGGCTTTTTGCCACGCCATTCAACCTTGCACCTCGCACCTCGATTGTGTGCAAGGTGAGTGTATTATCCGGGGAAATAATCTCTCGATCCCGTTCAATTATTGCACCATCATTGGAGAGGAGAGCTGGATGCTTATTGGAACGTATCGTCGTATCCGGCGGGCAATTATCATTTCGCGGTTAAACTAGCGTACAATTTATAGAAACGGTGAGATGATTTCATCCCAACGTCAAACGCTAGGATTCATTTCCAGCTCAACATTCGTCGACGTTGCACAAAGCATTAGAGATACAATGCCCGTCGCGTTTTGTACTCGGCAAATCGCCGGACGGATATCGATCCGCTCCGAATCGAGCGTTGTTGGACGAACAAAAGATCGGTAGATCGGGAAATTATCGGGAACGCGCGAAACTATGAAGCGGCAAAAGTGTAACGAGTCGTTATTCGGTTTTGATTCGCCACTTTTCTCTTCGCGCTCTCTTCTTAAGAATTTATGCCTCGCAACATTAACGGCAAGGTCTGGCTGGAAACGCACACACATATATATATACCGAGAAAATTGTACTTGCCGATTGTAGAGCAATTGTCTTCGAATGCATTCCTGAATACGCGTGCCTTACGTAAGGAAAACAAGAGAAATTGTATCATTTTGTCCGCCGGGCGGACCGCTCGAGTAAAACTTTCACCACGTTTACTGCTAACGTGCTCGTTACTCGCCGTGGTCGAGCACGTCGTCGTCGTCCCGTTATCTCGTCGTGGCTTCCTGTCACGGTTTTTCGGCGAGTGAAGAAAAAACGCCCCGTGAAATTGTTGAAACCGAATATTCTAATCATCGAAAAACGTAATACCTAGCCGCTCACGCAATCGACCTGATTACACGGATATCCTGTTTCACACAACGATTAATCGCAGGTTATTAATTTCCGGTCTGACGATTTCAATTGGAGACACATACATTGTGCGTCTTATATAAGCGTCACATATATTCTTATATGCGTTGACCAACCGCAACGTTTTCTACAATTTCTCTTTGGCTGTCAAGCTGTATGCTTTAATTACAAAATACGCTTTAATTACGAACGTAGAGAGATGATTAATCAGGACGAAAAGAATTTTACAGAAATTTTGTGGAAAGAGAAAAGGAAAACGTTGAAAAATGTTGACGGAATTAAAGCCAGAAGCACATAGAAAAATGTAAGATAGTAAGCAGTAAATGAGTTAGCAATAGAGAACGTAAGATAATAATTTTATGTTTTTTACTGTGAAGTTGACTGATTTATGCACAGCTTACTACTTATGTCTTATTATTTTACGTCTTTGTATATGCCATGAACTTTAAATTTTAAATACACTGAAAAAAAAATATTAAATTTTAATAAATATTTGTTTCTAAGTCAATATTTAGTAAGCGTAAACATGTATTTATTTTAGGAAAACAATTAATTTAACTATTTAACATTTTTTAAGTAAATTTATTTACTTACAATTAGTAATATTCAAAGAAATATGTATGAGACATTTTTTCAATACATTTTTTTTCCAATACAAGAGTCATGGCATAAACCTAAGTAATATCCAACAACCGATATTAATAGAAAAACCTAAGCAGTACAAGGAAATCAACATGTTGAATCGCTGCTGTTATTATATATAGCCTTACGGTCTCTATTATGATTGGCTAATTCACTTACTGCTTAAGTTTCTTGTACGAACAAAGCCGCAGTGGACATTTTCTTCTCATATAGAGAAAACAATCTTTCCAGGATGTCGCGAAGAATTAGCGTTTGCGCCACGGTGCTGCTCGTCCTATTCGAGTTGACCACGTCGGCCATGGTCCTGCCGAGACCACCTTCGTCACCTAATCATATCCATCAGGATCAGGAACTATCCGCGCGCAAATCCATCGAGGGCAAATCCCTGCACGGCGTCCCGCGGAACACCAATGTGGAGAGACCAGATACCGAGGACTACAGGTATCGATTCGCCAGCGACCGGCATTCATTCAATGCGACTTTTTCCGCGCTATTTTTTTCATATCGCCGACCGGTGTCGATATTATATTCCATGGCCATCGCACGTTGCACGTTGGCAATTCACTTTCATTTCGCGTTTAGAATTGCGAACTCGTTCGAAGTGATCAATTGGTCCGTCAATTGTTATCGCTTGATCAATCTTGAATCGAGCACTGTTAGATATTAAAGGAGAAACTCAATTCCTTGAGTTGAATAAGATTTGATTATTTTTAACTTTTACGTGGGTTAAAATGCAAAATCAATTCGTTTCTGTAGTTATAGTGTAGTTATTGCAAAATAAATAAACATCGTATATTAACTTAGTGAATAATAAATTAGATTTGATCAAACTTTTAATATATTTTCTTGAGTTAAATTGTTTTAGTCAAATTAACGACATTGAGTAGAATCAGTGGCGATACTGTAGGTATGATAAGAAATAATTCAAATAGGGTATAATCTGACATTATAAAATTAACCGTGAAATGTATTTTAAAATAATAAAACTTTCTTCGTTAAAATTTTATGAATTTTACGAATTAATCGCGAATGCGATTTTACTTATAATGCCAAATTTTATTGTACGAGTTCCAAGCCTTTGATTAATGCGCAAAATATTAACGGATGGCCAATGATGGTAGCTACTTATTCCACTCTAGTTAACGGCTTCTTCTCGGGAAACTCTCTCGAAACTGACTCATCGTGATTACGAAACGATATTTACTTCGGGTCTCGCAATTTTAAATCGCTCGAACAAAAGAGGAAAACTCTGCCTGAAACACCATTCTTTCCCACCGACGGAAAGCGGCCCAATTAGCGCGAATGAAAAGCCGTTCTTCAGCGCACGAGAAACGTGAGAAATCCAAGCGGGTAATTGCTCCTGTGTAATTTCAACGATGGCAGATTTACGTGACCACAATTCGTATCTTCAGACACGCTGGGCGCAACCGGTAATTTTGAAAGCAAAATAGTAAGCGCGATTAAAGGTACCGATTGTCTCTCGATTCTCTTCTTCGTGCGGCCGCGATCGCTGCGGTTTAATAATCGCGAATATCCGCGAGTTTGGGCAGAAAGGCATTTCTCAACAGTGACACCTGTAATCGCGATCGGATTAACCTCGTAATATCGTGAAAATAAAAAAGCAATCTCTCGCTCGATCTCTACCGTTAATATCCGATTAGCTATGCTATTTCTATCTGCTACTCATACCGTGTATTTACGGTTAATTATCCAGCATCTCAAAGTTTCATCCGTTCGATATCAATTTTCATTCTGTATATTAGCAAAAAGCTATAATCTACATGAAATTAAGTAAAATTGAGTTTCTTCTCTCTTCGCAGACTCTTCGAGATTGAGCTGCAGGGCGCGGACGAGATGGACGCCGCAAATTTGCAGAGTCTGATGCGAACGATGTTGAAGGAGGAGCAACGCGTCTCTGCGGAGCGAACCCCGAACGGCTACCCGAATCCCGAGGTGATTCCGCATTCTATTCTTGGTGTGCGAGATATGGGTCCAAGTCCGAATTATCGTCTGGACACCTTCGATAACGACAAACGTCCATCGTTGAATCCGCCAAAGCTGCCGAGTCTTAACGAGAAGTTGTACTATTTGAAGAGTGGCCGGCCCAAGGTCTACGTGAACGTGCGAGGACACAGCGGCTCCTTCCGCAAGGATATCAACGCCTCGTCCACGGCGACCCCGAGCGAAGGTGCGGTGGGATACCTCAGGGTCACGCGACCTTTTGAGAGGCAGACCGACTGGAAGACGCGGGACAAGAAGACTCGACCACCCAAGAAATTCGATCGTCGCGTTGACGGTATTGTTCTGAGAAATGATGAAATCGGTAAGAATGATCAAACAACGTTTTATGGAGCGGATGAACCGTCGACCACGGAGAATTCCATGGTCACATCCAGCGAACTACCTAAACAGATACCCGCACCGCCCAGCAAAGTCTATGGACGGATCCTGATGGCGCAGACCACGCCTGTGCAGAGGTATGCACTTAGGAGGACAGATATCCTGCCAGGATACGGTTTCGAAGAATAAAATCAAATATCTCTGTAAAACGAAAAAATTAACTTCCTCGAAAAGTACGAACTTCGCGACTCTGAAGACTTTTTTTTTTATTCATATTATACTTAATTCATTCTTATTTTAAAGTACGAAAAAGAAGATTGATTTGATGACTTGTTTTGAAACAAAATATTAATCCGTTTAATTAACATAATTGTATTAACGTAATTAATTATATTAATTACACAATAGTCATTAACATTGATTTATTCAAATCTTTCTTTTTTCAAATCATGAATTTTATATATATATAATTTGTATTTTACTTATCGTATATTACTTATCGTAAACGTTATACGAATAGCAAAATTTTTATGTTTTTTATAGAATGATATTTTGTAAACGTCACAAATTTTAAATATCTCGTTGAGGAGTTAACTGTGATTACATTAAAAATATTACTTCATCTTTTTGTGAAGTAAATGCTCTGTTTTCAGTATTTTCAGAATTCGATATAATTAATAGAGTTCTAGCTCTTCTCTAAAGATACACAAAAATATTTTTAACGATTAAATATAAATTTAGGACATCTCGTAATTATTTAAGATAGAATTCCGAAAAACTGTTATCTTCATGTCTCCTATTGTATAGAATGATTGGTCAATCTATTTTATTTTTTTATTTTAGTTAGGATCAGTATCTAATACGAGAAAAGCCAAAGCTCAATTATATCGGAAATTTCTGGAAATAGAATGCTAATTTTATAGAGATTATTATGTCTCAGAGAATATTTAAAGTTGCAAAGTTAAATTTGATGTTCTAATATTAGCCTTTTTTATTCTTAATTTATAATATACCGGATATAACGACTCACGATAAAAATATATAAATATTATTATTTATACAGATTAATATATACTTGTAATTATATATATATATATATATATATATATATATATAAAAGTGCGTAGCCAGTAAAATATTTTTATTACTCCTATTCTTTGGTAATTTGCTATTTGTCCTTAACGGAGAGAACAAACACCGAGCCTATTTTAACGCGAAATATAAAGAGAACAATATGAATGAAAGGACTTACCTGCTCTGCTTTTAATGTTAGTTCAATGAAAATCTGCTGTAATTTCTCGTTCACAAAATTTATGCAAAATTGCTCAAAGCCGTTTTTCTCAAAGATCTCGAAGCCATATATGTCCAAAATTCCAATCTCATATCCGTCCATGTTTGTTTCCATAGCTGAATTGACTTTCTGTAAAATTATCAATTAATTAATAGCAGAATAACTGAATATGTTTTGTAATATAATTTTAATTCTGCTGGTCTATTCGGATTTATTTGAATTAGAATATAATTTATTTTTTTTACTAATATTTTATTTAAAAACTTTCTTCTTTGGCATTCGAATAACTTCGTCTAATTGTAAGATTTCTGTAAAAATTTTTTTTTAATAATTTCTTATATAATCATATCAATCCAAATGATATCATATAACAAATTTGAACAAACCAGCAGAATTAAAATTATGTGATAATTTTGAGTTCAAAAAATTACATTGATATAATTAAAATAGATATTTTTTAAATGTATTTCTTATACCAAATAAGAGAGTAATTTATTTTTTTTTTTTAAATTAAAGAGATGAAATTATAGTTAATATCAAGTCAATTTTTCTCCGACAAATAAGATTATATAAGCGCAAAATACGCGATTTTTCTATATAATTAAAAAATTAATCATTTTAAATAAACTTTGATACTTTAGTACTCTGCCACACCTTAACTAAGTAGTCAAAAAGCCTAGCGTAGATGTCCTTTGCCAAAGCGTCCCTCGTATAAAGCGCCTGTTCTACATTCAATGTCACGTCTACACTTTCGGATTGACTTCCCCATTTCGACTCGAATTCTCGAGAAATCAATTTGTGTGACAGTTGTTCTGCCGAGATTCTAAAGAGGTAGGCTGGAAACTCAAGAACTAAAAGCATATCCACGCACACAATTAGAATCAGATTTTTAAAAAAGCAGAAAATGTAAATAATAATACAAATACGCGCAGAAATTATATTAAAACTTATTTTATTATCGATCGATTAATAATGTTTATATAATATGATAAGATATAGATAAATGTGTTTTATGCGACTTATATAGTTATACCGATAAGAGATAAATTATGTAATTAATCGTTATATTATGTCATATTTTATTGTTTAAGCTGCGTTTCGATATTCATTGTATTCGCTGCCAATGCTGAAAATCTATACATATAAGGTATATAACACATGATGTATAAGATTTTCAGTATATTGACAGTAAATACATTGAAAAGCAATCTTAATTAGTATGCAGAATAGCTTACATTGTTTATCAGCTATTTGGGAATAATTGCCATCTTCAGAAAACTGTATATTTCCCAAGTGAAGAATTCCAGTTACTAATCTGAATATATCCATCACTTCTGCGTCTTTTATTCCCATAACACTCAACGCTGTAGACATTAAACAATACATAATTATCAAAGTAACGTATTAAATTAGCGAGGTCTATTAGTAATCAGGAAGAAAGATACAAGAATGTACTGTAATAATTATGGAACATTATACTATTAATTATAATTGCACAGAAATTAATTATCACTGTAAGATACATTTTAATTACGTACCTTTAAGAGTTTCCTGAAAATCTCGCGCATCGTTTGTCCCGTCCATTCTATAACTATCACCATAACTCAAATATTGATAATAATCGAGACCCGTCAATCCAAGTTCAGCTAGAAAATTTAAATACTTTTTTATTATCCTTCTAAACTATACTAATTTTATTTGTCACTGATACTTTTATGTCTTAATCGATCACTCACTTTTCATTTCTTGATTGGCGCCCGTCGCTAACTGATAAAATATATGAAAGTTCCGCTCGCCGGGATTATGGCAAGTTACTCTTGATTTTTCCAAAAGAAAATTCGAAATTTTTCCACCGTTTGGCTGACCGCCCGGCCCGAACTGCATCTCAACGTATTTTCCCTGAAAATTTAAGATTTCCTTTATTTCTGTTCGAATAATAATTTCGTCGCGACTGTAGTACATTTAACAAATTAATAAAAATTAGTGAATCAATTCGAGTACAATTTGAAACGTACAAATCTACTGCTGTTATTGTTTCTCACTGTCTTCGCATTGCCGAAAGCTTCTAAGAGCGGGTTCGACTCCAAGATCACGTCCTTTACTTTCTGTACCTTCTTGCCTCCGCCACTCACCCTCGTCACGTAGGACATTATATATTTCGCCGCAACCGTTTTTCCAGCGCCCGATTCACCACTGCAAGGTAAAGATCGGAACATAACATATTTTCGATTAAATTGCAATTAATATATCAAATTAATATTCAATTAATATATTAAATTAATATTAATAATTCAATTAACATATCAAATTAATGTCCGACTAATATATTAAATTAATACTCGATTAATGTATTAAATTAACATTCGATTAGTATATTAAATTAATATTCAGTTAATATGTTAAATTAATATCCGATTAATATATTAAATAAATATTTCAAAATATCAAATAACGTATAAATATAATATTTACTAAAATTTTTATTAACGTAAGATTGTTTCAATGCAAGTATCGTTTGTCAGTTTACCTAATAATAACGCATTGACTTTCGTTGTCGATCAACATGTTTCTATACATTTCGTCCGCCAATCCATAGATATGCGGTGGATTCTCGTACGGTGCCTAAAATGACATAGATTTTTCTTATGTTTTCTAACGAGAAAAATAGCATTTTCACTCTTACCGCGCCTTGATATATTTCGACTTCCTTCTCTCCGAAGTACGGCATTTGTTTGAAAGGATTAACCGATACCAATACGGGTCCGATACACGTCTGATAGCATTTTAAGGAACATTTATGAATTATTTGTCACAGTTAATTAAGCTATCTTAAAATGTCTTTCCAAAATTATGCATTTTGCGTAGAAAAGGATACAAATGTATAATCGTCCATGTATCTCTTCCTGAGATTCTCGATGATGGCATCCTCATTGATCTTCGGTAGAAGCACCATATCGTCCACCCCGGAAATTTTGACATTTTGACTTTGCCAGTGGTACACCTAAGGATCAAAAAGAAATTGATTTTGATTAGTGAGACCACGTTTGACTGCCTTATACCATCGCGAATTTATGAAAATTACGGGACGCAGCGACACACGAGAAATCGGCGAACGTCGCGGATTGCGAATCCAATTACAATTTCTGTGTCGTGAGTATCAGAAGTGCTTATTCGCGCTGACGTTTCACGGATCGTCGATTCATCGATCGCTTCCGCTCCTCTTTCAGCAAAGGTTCAGTCCAGCGTTCTTACTATGCCCTTTTAACGCAACGGCTTACAATAGATACTATACTTGGACATTAATGTATTATTTATATATACATATAACGTTTTTTAAGCAAATCTGTCAAAGTTCAATTTTACATTGCAAAAGACAATATTGCGTTTCAATATTTTTTATTCCGTAAGTAATACTCGTTAAAGTATCTTACGTTTATTTAGTTTATTGGCTCACTATAAGCAAACAGAATCAATAAAATCACAAATGTTGACATAAACTTCTGCTCTTTGGCATTTCTACTAACGAAAGGTTTTATGTCGAAGAATTCTTCTTCTTTCTGCGACATAAAATCTTCTTCTTTCTGTTTTGTATCCTCTATTTACTTTAGAGTGCTTTCCAATAAGAGACATGACACAGTGATCATTTTTTATATTCTTTTCTTCACGACCATTCTTACTTACTGCCCTTGGATTTCTTATGTATAAACATAAGCGCATTGAGTAAGAACGAACGTAAAGAAAAGAATGTAAAAAAAGTGGCGTGAATAGGGAAGTCTGGCGTATGAAACGAAGCATTCTCAGTTGCACGTAGCGCAAATTAGAGAACGCGAGAGAAATCGTAGTCAGCGTATATGGTGATACTTCCGGTCGAGGATTCTTTTTCGACAAATTTCGCATATAGTATCGAGTATAGCGTACAATGTCGCGAGACAAAACTTCTTTCGTAGCTGCTGTAGCGA